TCTGAGGCACCTGCTGTGTTACTGTGACACAGCACTACACAAGACTCAAGAAACACCTGTAGGACGTTCATCCCTTTAACCCTTCTAAACTGCAAGTCCCAAAGACAGGGCCAAGAAGGACAATCCTGCCCCTGTTTCCTGCAGTATAAAGCCATGTGGGGAGGGACAGAAATTCAATAGACTGAGACAGTTTGGACTGGACAAAACACAAAAAAAGTACAGTGCAAGGACTGATCTTCCACTGGCCTGCCAGCCATGGGCAGGGTGAGCTAATGGGTCTTTTCCATGCCTGCACTCTGGTGGGGACATCTGTGCAAGAACAGGGCATTGTTCCCCAAGGTTCATCTGCTCCTCAGCCCGTGACATCACGGCCCTGCTGTGGGAAGCACTGTGCTCCAGAGCCAAGGGCTCCTGGGTGAGGCAGGAGCAGCTCTCCAGAAACAAAGATCAAGTTTCATGTCAGTGAAGTGGGACTGGGGAAGTGAGGGACAGATGCAGATGCCCAGGCAGGGCAATTCCTACACAGGAAATTCAGATTGATCACAAATCCCATTTGCTCCTCAGAAACAGGTGATACAAAGCTGGGATTTACCCTTCCAAAATCTTGAGCTTAGCCTAAGAGTGACCTGAACAATGAGCTCAATGTACTGGACAATCTCTTTTCTGGGATAAATCTGAGCCTTACATGCATCCACTGCACAGAAACAGTTGCATGAGAAGTGCTTGGTGCCTTTCAGATTTCATGCTGTCATTTCTTGTTCTATCAGCTCAGTACCAGCTGCATCCTGTTACAATCCTTGGGAAGAGAGATTTGGAAGCTGTAAGGAGAATGCCCCATGCAGATCTGCATTCCTCCTTGTATGACCCTCACTGGCACACAGCATGTTTTTTTTTAAATTTTTTTCTTTTCTTTCAAAGAGTTGAGAAAGAATTCTGGACATGCATTTCAGGAGCAAAGTGTGATCAAATGCTGCTGCTGACAAAATCTGTCTCAAACAGCTCAATCATGACTCCACTCACCCTGCAAAGCAGACAGTGACAGAGAGTTGGCCTGAGCCAGTCACCTCCTCATTTGTCAGTGCTCAGGGAGCATGAGCTCTGCCACTTCCAGAGGTGACACAATTCACCAGCCAGCCCTGCTCCAACAGACATGGCACAGCACCTCCCAAACACCCAGCCAGGAAACAGCCACACACCTGCCTGGGCCATGTCAAACACATCAGTTTTTAGATAAGATCACAGCAAACAAGTTAATCTCACCTTCCTGAAATCCCGTTTCTCAAAATCCACTTCAGCTATTTTTTCATACTCAAGCACAGTCGTGGCATTCTTCAGCTGAAAGACAGAACACACCAGTGCTGCAGGACAGTGTCTGCTCTGAAATGCCACCAAGCAGCATTTGAAAAGCCAATCCCTGAATGTCAGAGCCAAAACTACTGCAGACCATGGACCAATAGTGCAGATGACATGAATACTTTTGCCAGCATTAAAATCGGTTTGAAATAAAGTGACTGAACTGAGAGTCCAGGAAAATGTACCCTGTGAAAGAGAAACAGGGCCAGCTGCCTTGCACCACTCTCCATTTCTCCTTTGGCCAGTTCCTGGGGACAATTCAATCAGAAGATCCCCTTACCTCCTGCTGTGCCTGGGTATTTTTATGATCCAGTTCTAGAACTCGTTGAAAGCAGCGGCTGGCAGCCATGGCATTCCCTAGGGAAAGGTGGCACTTCCCTTCCCGGAGGTGGCCCTGGGAACACAGGGAAAAGGGATCTGCAAGAGCTGTGACAGGTGCAGAGAAGGGGCTGAAGGAGGTGCCTGAAGCTCTCCACGTACCCGTACAAAGCTGTCGTCCAACCTGACCGACTGCTGAGCATCCTCCAGCGCCTCTCGGAACCTCCCCAGCATCATGAGCGTGGCAGCTCTGTTCCCATAATAACTGGCATTATTGGGACACGTGTCTGGAGAAAATGCAAGACTCATTAGCAGTGTAATGCAGCAGCTGCACAATCTGTGGCACTTAAGAACATTGGCCCTGACTGGCATTATTGATCCGGTGACATTTCCCAAGGTAATTAAAGCAGGCAAGAGGTTTTCCTTCAGCATGTGCTGTCAGAAACCCCATTGGTGTGTTTGAAATCAGCAACCAGCTCCAGTTTTAGACATGGTGTTCAGTAAAGATTGATATTATCAGCTGTTCTCACCTATGGCTTTTGTGTAGTAGTTGAACGCTTCGTTGTAATCTTTCTTGGCATAGTATGCATTTCCCTGCTCCTTGAATGCTTCTGCTTCTCTGAAAGGAAGCAAAACAGCACATTTTCAGAAGAACTGAGCACCACACAGATTGTGACCATGACAAACATTTGATCCCCAAGCAATATAACTGTTTAATGCTCCAAATTGAAGCTGGTTCTCCTGAGATCTCCTCAGCACACACTGCCCAGCACACCCCATTTCCTGCTGGCTCCCAGCTACTCCACCTGGGATACTCAGGGATATTTCCTGGCCAAGTTTTACAGGGATGCCAGAGAAGCCTAAAGCCACCTTTGAGTCCCCTCAGAGTCCAGCAGAACTCCATGATAGGGATTTCATCCAACAGCCCTCTCCTGCAAAGGGCTGCAGCTCAGAACAAAAGAGACAGTGCTGCCTCTTTCGGAGTCCCACATACTTATAAACCAGAGCCAAGAACAATTTCCACATTCAAAAGACAGCTAAATCAGAGAAATATGGGTACAAGCCTGCAACAGAAGCCTGGCACTGCCTTGGCAACAGGTCTAGAAATAGTCCTCACACTCAAGAGCAAGCATTTGCAGAGACAGTTTGGGACATTTAAAAACACACAACATATGGTTTGAAGCAGCTTCCCTTAAACTCTCGAAAGCAAAGCTTCCCCTGAGGGAAAGCAATGCCCTTCCCTTCCCTCATGTCCCTCCAGCCTTTCACCTGCACAGGGCAAGAGGGAGAACACACCACAGTGATGGAACAGCAAATGTGAGCAGTGCTCAGCAGGCTGACCTGGGAGAGAACAAAGGGAATTGTGTTGGAACAAGTTCCCATGTTTTCAGCCTTGCTCAGGCTGCCATTGGCCATTCCCACACAACCACCTCATGCAGGGCTTGTTTTCACTGAGCCATCACACATTTCCCAGCTGGCAGAACAATGGACACTGGGAGCTGGGAAATGTGCTCTTCACTTTCAGTTTTAAGTTTTGCTGTGTGCTACACCCCAGCTGAGTCCAGCCACAGCCCTGTGGGAGTTAAACCATCTCAGGAGATGAGATGGGTAAGAACTGGGGCAGAGCAAGGGGTAGCACACACCCACTGCCCTCCAAGGGCCTTGTCCTGGCTCCTGGGTCAGCTCCTCCCATTCCTGCTCCAGAAAATGATGAAGAGATGGGAAAGTGCCATCCCTGCTCTGCCCCAGCCCTCCCAGCATCACACCTGGGGCAGGTGCTGCAGCCTGGCTTTTCCTCAGGAGCCAGAACCCAGCAGAGCCCCAGAGCTCTGCACTCTCCCAGCCACACTGATGTGCCTGTGGGATGGATCCATATCACAAACACCAGGATGCAAACCCTGCATGATTAAAATGTTTCCAAACACAACCACCTGTTTTGAATATTACAGATCAAATATCTGAACACAGTGGAAAAAACACCCAGCACTTGTGCACTTTTGGAACCTGGGCAGGAAAGAGTTTCACTGTTCTCTTGTTTCTGTAATCACAAATAGAAGAGAAAATCACAGATCCTATGAAAAGCTCCTTCCCTCAGGTCTGTGTTGTACAGTCTACAGAAATGGGTGAACAATCTTAATGGTAGAACTCACCTGAGTCACCACCACAACCTGTCCAGCACACTGGGCTGAATCATGAGTTCTTTCATCCATTTTACCTGTCCTGTCATGAGGAATTACCATCAAATACACACAGCTAAAGGCTGGCTGCCAGAGCACCCCATCTGCCACAAACTGCTGGGAAAATTGGTTTTGCCAGGGTTATGTTGTCTTTCTCCCAATTTTCAGAAAGCACCGACACTTTGAGATGCCAGAGAAACACTCCCACACAGAGATTACTGTTTTCTACTCTTTTTTATTGGTCTGTTTTCCTTTAAAGCATTTTAATACAGATCAATGTATCAACAAGTCACAGTGCCTGGGGTGACAGTGGCAGAAAGGATAGCACAGGTATTTCTGCTGCTCACATGGCCTAAGGCTTAACCATAAGGATGGTGAAAGCAAATCACCTCCAATGAAGATTGTAAAAGCAAATCACCTCCAATGAAGATTGTAAAAGCAAATCACCTCCAATGAAGATTTTGAAAGCAAATCACCTCCAATGAAGATTGGGAAAGCAAATCCCCTCCACAGCATGAAGGCAAAGGACCTGCTGGAGCTGTCAGGCTGGGCTGGAGCTCCAGCACCAGGACAGGAGCAGCTCTGCCCTGCTGTGCCCTGATGACATCCAGAGCACACAGTCCCTTGTTTACCATGGCTCTGGCTCCAACAAGGAGAACTGCAGCCCCTGATCTCACTGGGGATTGTTTCAGCCCAACAGATGCTGTGGTCTGAATGAGCTCATTCTGCCTCCTGCGCTGCTGGGGCCTGCACTCCCCACTTGCTACTTTTGACACTGAAGAAGAATCGTGCTTTGCTGAAATACACCCCCAGCTGAATGGGTGTCTTTGTGACAGGGTTGGTGTCTTCACTGGGCTGCTCCATGCTGGACACAGAAACACAGAGGAGCTGCACCAAGGAGCTGGGTAAGAAGCTTGTCTTTCATCACCCACAGGCACAGGAGGGGCTGGTGGGAGTGACTCTTCTTGTGAGCAAGGCAATTATTTTTTTCTCTTTTATGGTATTTCTCAGCATCTCTAATACTTGAAGTACTTTGGTCCCAGTCACCCAGAGAACCTGCCACCATGGAATCATTTGGGTTGGAAAAAATCTCTGAGATCTTAAGACACCGATCACCACCTTGTCAACCAGACCAGACAGCACTGAGTGTCATGTCCAGCCATTCTTTGAACATGGGAACTCCAACTGCTCCCTGGGCAATGCTTGACAACCCTTTCTGAGAAGAAACTCCACCTGATGTCCAGGCTGAACCTCTCGTGGCACAGCTGGAGACCGAGGAATTGGAGCAGCAGCTGCGTGCGCTGCCGCTCCCGCGCACACCCGAGCTGTGAGGATGGAGAGAGGAACCAGCACAAGGCTCCTTCTCCTCCCTGTGCCCTGTGCAAGCTCAGCCCCTGCTCGCTCCCAGCACAGTAGCTCTTGGAGAAGCCATGCTGCACACAGTGACACAATCCCACGCTTGCCTAACAACTCCTGCCTCCTCCTCAGAGCTTCCACACGCTGCCCCCGCTCGAGTGCCGATCGTGGCTTCCACCTCCCACTCCAGCTCCCCATGAGACTCCTGCAGACACCTGATTTTCTGCCATGGGAACCTTCAGGGATCTGTAAGCCAGCAGATCTTGATCCAGGTGTGCTGGCACATCCCTACCAAGGCAATACTACCGGGACAGAAATCCAACACCTAAGCAGATGGCAGAGTCACCATCTCCAGCTCTCCTGACCCTCACTCCCACTTCACTGCCTGCCTCCATTATGAAACTGTGCAAAACCCTAAAATAACCAGCATTTAAGGAAGTCTCCAAAATCCTGTCCTGACCAAGTAATCTTTCCTGTTATGCTCTGGCAATTTTGTGCAGTTCCTGCAGAGGATTTTCCATCAATAGGACATGGTGCCTTTATCAGGCATTTTTTGGGGGTGAAATCCCACCCAGATTCTCAGCTGTCAGATGTGACTCAGCCACTGGGGTAAAATAAGTTGGGTGATCTCAATTCAGTTTACAGCAGGCAGATGTCTAGAGCTTAAAATTAGCCATCATGTTTGCCCCTGGACATACAATACCCTCCCCTCCCTTCTTTCAGGGCTTGGAAGAGCAACAAAACACTCCCTGTGCCAGAAAGATACACAGGGTGCACATCAGAGACCTGTCCTCAGGTGAGGTTTGACACTGAGTGAGGATTTAGGCATAAAGGAATATATTTTTACATATATAGGAATATATTACATATAATGAAATATATATTTACATATAAAGGAATATATATTTACAACTTCCCCATGAGGGGCAAGCACTGAGCTCTTCTCTCTGGTGACCCCAGGGAGTGGCTGGGGCTGGGTGAGGGAGGGTTGGGTTGGATTTTAGGAAAAGGTGCTTTGCCCAGAGGGTGTGTGGGCACTGGGACAGGGCAGTGGTCACACACACTGGTGTGTGACAGGCTGCTGAGCCCTGCTGGGCAGAGCAGAGCTGATTCCTGGCACATCAGCTCCCCCCAACGCACAGATACTGTGGCAGAGACTCAACACAGCCCCCAGCTCGGAAATCCAAGTGTGGACACACAAATCTCTACATGGATGGGCGAAGGACTCACCCATGGAAATATACAATATATAACAAAGGGCTGCCTTGAGCCTCTCAACAGCAGAGCTGAACCTGAACCCTCAAGGTGCTCAAACCCTCAGAATGTTCCTCATAACCAAGGGCAAACTCAGAAGGCCAAAAGAGCCACAAGAACCAAAATACGCCCCAAGAAATGCAAGGATTGACCTAAACCTCCCCTGCAGCCACGAGTGAGAAGAGCAGGCGAGCCCCAGCTTTAATTGTGCTGTTATGTAATTCCCAGAGCTCAGAATTAACCTAATTCCCAGCAATGGCCCCATCCTGCCTGGCAGGGCCACAGTGTAACTCCTGTGAAAACCCATGGAAGGCTCTAGAATCAGCCTGAGACTGCTTTTTTTTGAAGGAAGCAATTTCTTTGGAATTAAGGAAGCCAACCAGTTTAGGAATTCCATGGGAAAACAACTGCATCTACATTACTATTCACCTCAAAAAAGCACATTTCATGTTAAGGAAATAGGGTGAAAGTGTAGGTATGGATCACCTTTCCCTAATGGATAAAGCAACTGCCTAAGTTAGATATTCAAATACTCTGCAGATGCACAGGGAAGCAAACAACTACAAGAGTACCTTCTGCTGCTTCTGGTATGATCAGGACATCATAAAATAATTCCAGATGAGTAAAATGGGCTGGTTTATCACCTGGGAACTCCAAGTGCCCATTTACAGGCAGAACAGGAATAGGAAAGTCATTTCCAGGTTATCCCAGAATGACCTGGTGTCCCTCAGATGATTCACCCCTCCTGCCAGTGCTGCCCCAAAACTGGCCAGAAATTACATCTGTCCTGGAGGAAACTCACTGAGATGCACCTGGAAAAGCCTCTTGGTGCTCACCAACACCTGATAAACTCCAGGTAACACCTGCAGACCTGGCCAGGCCCAGAACCTCCAGGACTCTGTGGGTCACTCCATGCTCATCACCTTGCTCTGGGAAATGTTGACGCCCCCACAGAGGCACCAACACATCCCAGAGGCTCTGCAATTTCCTAACAGCATTTTCCTGGCAGCTGGAGGTTCTTCAAGAAAACAAAGCTTCCATATGCTCCAGTGCTGAAGAAGGAGGAGAAAGATGCAGCCTGGAGCATGCACGGGAGCCAGAACCCAGAGGTGCCAGGAAGATGACAAGGAAATTCTCCTTGGCAAAGCTCCAGGGGCCCAAGCTCACAAAGCAGCTGGGAACAGGGAAAAACTGTTCCCATGGGAGAGAAACCTTTGAAATTAATAAAGAAGCAAGAGAGTTTTTAGGGGTGGCCCAGTCCTGCTCATCAGCTGCTCAGCACTGGTGCACTAAAGGATAAAATTAACACAATTACATCAACACTTTCTGCCAGGACCCCAACAATCCATGAGGCAGCAGCAGACAATAATTATCCTGTGACCACACTCCATTCCTGTGCCCTGGACACCCTGGGAGCCCTCTGGCATGTCTGCAGCTGCTTCAGGGCATTATTTACAGCCATTCTGAAATGCAGATCTCCCCTTTTGCTCGTTTTCTAACTTTCCAGTTTTATTAAGCCACTGAGAACAGAATTGTGCATTCGGACAGAGGTAAGTCCTTGAGCAAAGTATCCATATTCTGCTGTGCTGTTACTCCTAAATGGAAATAACAGAACATGAAACTCTCATTGCTGAATTATCATAAGGATTCTGAAAAGGTTTTCCTTTATTTTTGCTGATTTTTATGGGAGTGAGCATAGATACACCCCAAAGGCTACACCAAATCAGTGTGTCCCACGTGGAGCTCACCCAGCTCTTACCTGGCCTGGGATGTTTCACAAACACCTGACACCTCCTGAGGCTGCAATTCCACTCCCCAATACAAACAGTTATTGCTCTGATTTTCACAAGAGCAACTGAGCTACCACAGTGAAACACAAAAGGCAGGGGTAGGGAAGAGGTCAATGTACAGAACTGCAAAGAAATCAGAGAGTGCAGGGCTGGCTCCCCCAGAGCAACACCAAGCAATCAGCTCCTGCCCATATGGATCCATTTCAGCAAGGGAAAGGTGCAACATTCCCAGAAGAACACAAAAAGGAAACACTGTGATAGCACTTAACGAAAGCAGGAAGGGAGAAAGGAGCTGGAGGTCACTACCTGCAGACAGCTGTGCCTTCAGCCAGGGTTTTACCTCTGAATTTCCACCATTTCAAACAGCACATTTTGCTTGCCCAGGGGCAGGAGTGCTGTGCCCACACAGCCCCATCCCAGCCCCACAGGCTGGGCGATGCCCATGCTCTGCCAGCCCCAAGTGCCTCCTCAGCAGCTCCTCCTCTCCTGCTCAGCAGGATCTCCCCAGGGAGCTGCTCCTCAGGCCTCAATTCCACAGAATCCCTCTAGCCATCAATGGGAGCCTGAAACCACCACTCCTCAGAGGTGACTTTTGGTTTTGTTTCCTCTTCTTCGTTCCAGTAGTGAATCATCATCCAGATCAAACGCCTCAGGCTCCTCCAGGAACAGCTCTTTCCTTCCAGGGGAATGAACCCAGCACCTGGCACTACGGAAAACCAGTGGAGCTTCCAGGACTGGGATCTTCCCACAGCTCACTCACTCCTGAGAGGAAAATGGGCAGGAAAGGAGGGGATCCCACCTCGCCCTGCCTCAGGTGACACTGGCAGCTCTCCAGGGCACGGCCCGGACAAACCGGCAGCTCCGGGATGATGGAGCACTCCCGTTATCCGCAGCAAGGCAGGGCAGAGCGGATCCCACAGATTTCAAACGGAGCAGAACCGGGGCAATGCGGTGATGGAGCAGCAAAAGGCTGAGGAGTTTGGAACCTCCCCTTCCCACGAGTTTAATCCTTCCCCGCTCAGCGAGGGGGAGGACGCGCTGCCCGACACCGGTGCGGGTGTGTAGCCTCGGGGGTGAACCGCATTGCTGGCACACCCCGGTAACGGGTGGCTGCTCTAATTCCGGGAGCTCACCGGGACACACC